GAGGAGGAGGAGGGAAAAACCTGAACCCGATGAGGCTGAAGGCTCAGGAGGAAGAGGAGGGAAAAATCTGAACCCAGTGAGGCCGAAGGCTCAGGAGGAGGAGGAGGAGGGAAAAATCCGAACCCAGTGAGGCCGAAGGCTCAGGAGGAGGAGGAGGGAAAAAAATCCGAACCCGGTGAGGCCGAAGGCTCAGGAGGAGGAGGAGGAAACTAAACCCAGTGAGGCCGAAGGCTCAGGAGGAGGAGGAAGAGGAGGATGAAGGCCCCTCATTTCACGGTGAGGATGATGAGGGTCCCTCACCCCCCCCGAGGAGGAGGAGGAGGAAACTAAACCCAGTGAGGCCGAAGGCTCAGGAGGAGGAGGAAGAGGAGGATGAAGGCCCCTCATTTCACGGTGAGGATGATGAGGGTCCCTCACCCCCCCCGAGGAGGAGGAAACCGAACCCAACGAGGCCGAAGGCCGCGAGGAGGAGGAGGAGGAGGAGCCCCCTCAGCCCACGGCGAGGCCGAAGGCTCAGGAAGGGCCTTGTCCCACGGCGAGGAGGAGGAGGAGGAGGAGACCGAACCCGACGAGGCCGAAGGCTCACGAGGAGGAGGAGGAGGATGAAGGCCTCTCTCTCATTTCACGGCGAGGATGATGAAGATGAAGACGATGAAGACGAAGCTCTCCCACCCCGAGGCGAGGAAGAGGAGGGTGAAGACGACGAGGATGATGAAGATGAAGGTGAATTCCCTTTGTGGCTGATGAAGACGAAGGTGATGAAAAGGAGGATGATGAAGGTGAGGAAGAGGAAGGTGACGAAGGTCAGGCTGATGAGGATGATGATGGTGACGGATGACGACAACGAAGCTCAGGATGAAGATGAAGCTCAGGATGAAGATGAGGATGGTCAGGATGATGAAGACGAAGGTCAGGATGATGAAGATGAAGGTCAGGATGATGATGATGATGAAGATGAAGGTGTCAGCCGATGGTGAGGCAAGCCGCAGTGGAATTTCTCCTTCCTGCTCTCCATGAGGATGATGATGGTGATGGACAACGATGACGATAACGAGGCTCAGGATGAAGATGAAGCTCAGGATGAAGATGAGGATGGTCAGGATGACGAAGACGAAGGTCAGGATGATGAAGATGATGATGATGAGTGTCAGCCGATGGTGAGGCCGAAGCCGCAGTGGAATTTCTCCTTTCTGTGGTTGATGAGGATGATGATGGTGATAGACGACGACAATAACGAGGCTCAGGATGAAGATGAGGATGGTCAAGATGACGAAGATGAAGGTGAGGATGATGAAGACGAAGGTGAGGATGATGATGATGAAGGTCTCAGCCGACGGTGAGGCCGAAGCCGCAGTGGAATTTCTCCTTCCTGTGGTTGATGAGGATGATGATGGTCAGGATAACAATGACAATAACGAGGCTCAGGATGAAGATGAAGCTCAGGATGAAGATGAGGATGGTCAGGATGACGAAGATGAAGGTGAGGATGACGATGATGAAGGTGAGGATGATGATGAGTGTCAGCCGATGGTGAGGCCGAAGCCGCAGTGGAATTTCTCCTTCCTGTGGTTGATGAGGATGATGATGGTGATGGACAACGATAACGAGGCTCAGGATGAAGATGAAGCTCAGGATGAAGATGAGGATGGTCAGGATGATGAAGATGATGATGATGATGAAGGTGAGGATGATGAAGATGAGTGTCAGCCGATGGTGAGGCCGAAGCCGCAGTGGAATTTCTCCTTCCTGTGGTTGATGAGGATGATGACGGTGATGGACAACGACGAGGATAATGAGGCTCAGGATGAAGATGAGGATGGTCAGGATGACGAAGATGAAGATGAGGATGAAGGTGAGGATGACGATGATGAAGGTGAGGATGATGATGAAGGTCTCAGCCGATGGTGAGGCCGAAGCCGCAGTGGAATTTCTCCTTCCTGCTCTCCATGAGGATGATGATGGTGATGGACAAC